CACGGATATCTCTGTCTATTTTGTATTCCTACACGATAGAATGTAGTGCAATCTCCTGACATTATTTAGCAGCTGGCAGAGTCATCATTTGATACTGATACTTCTGAAAGTGAACTATTCTGGGGTGTAGGCTATAGTCAAAGGTACTAGTTTCGGTATTATTGGACTTGATTTTCACATTAGTTGCAGGATAATTAGCTATCTGCTACTTATCCATATATCATCCTTTAATAATTCCATTTCATCTTCTACAAAAGTGCAACACAAACAAACGATTTCACGGTCAAGGATTCTTTGTTGTTTAAATTACTCCTGAGAAAGCCAAAACTTGCAATATATTTGCTTTGATTCAATACTGTGGAAGAAGTCATAATTAAATATCTAGCCTGTCTTATTTTTTCCACGGTAGGGATTACGCAAAAGCTCTCATGAGTTCCGAAGATCCTTTTGCAACTAGCCAAGGAAGTGATGAAAATGGTCTTCCACAAAAAGTGTTGGAGTCTCTGTTCAACATTCCCCAGACCCAGAGTACTAAACATGAACCTAAGGCAATGAGTTGGAGGAATGTGGCAAAGAAAATGCAGTCACTTGGCATTGATGCTTCTTCATCTAGTGGGGAAGAGTCTCGGCCTGATACTTTTGGTATGTTACTATGGTTTCTTGACTCTAGTATTTGCGTATATGGCTGCAAATAGCAGGCTCATTTTGCCATGAGTTTCGCAGGCTTCGAGCTTCCGATGTATGTTGTTTTATCCGATGAAACACTTGGCAACTTTTGCTATGGTGTCATTGGCAAAAACATCTGAGGTCTTGACTGCTTGTTTGTGTTGCAACTCTTGATACAATCTTTCTTACTCATGAATTGCATAACCAATCAATCAATATATGTGTTGCAGTGAAGGATGACGGATATCATGCACTTAGAAAAGGTGCAAATGATCAGTGGAATGTTACGAAGTCATACTATCAAAAAGTAAGTTTTTGTTGCTTCCATTATCTCTGGCATTGTTGGACTCCTCAACTAAATACCAATTAATGCATTTATCACTTGGTCGAAGGCTGCAGAAGCATATTCGAAAGGAGGGAGGGCTCATGCCGCGTACCTTTCTGACAAGGTACACCTCTGTTTATATTTTATGCTATTAGAGAAACGTTTTTTGGAAGTGAGACGTAAAGTTGTGTCCTTTATTCTTATAGGGGAGAACAGCATCTAAATTAGCTCAACGAGCAGATGAGAGGGCAAGCCAAGATATATTTGTCGCGAGGTTACCTGTTGTAGGGTATTATAGAAGTTAGGCTGTTACTCTTTGACTTTTCATTTTGTTGTGGACTAAGCCATTGTTGCATCTATGACTATGCAGAAACAAAGGCATCGAGAATGTGATAACCATTGATCTGCATGGTCAGCATGTTAAACAAGCTATGAAGCTACTGAAGCTGCATCTCTTATTCGGATCATATGTCCCTTGTAAGTAGTCACCAGGTTCAGTTACAGTCTTATATCTTTTAAGAGAGCAACATCGCCTCATCTTGTATTCATAAAAATTGATACTAACGAATGTGATATGATCCAGCCATTCAGACACTACGAGTGATCACAGGATGTGGGTCTCATGGGTTTGGGAAGTGTAAGGTGAAACAATCGGTAAGCTTCTTAAACACCCTTTCACATTTGAAACAGAATGTGAATCAAACCAACTCTAGAACCAGTATTTGTAAATGGTGTCAAACCGGATTTGATAGTGTGCACGAAAACTAGAATTTAAGATTGCAGTAATTTGTGGATGATCAGGTGGTAAAGCTGCTAGAAAGAGAAGGAGTTAGGTACTGTGAAGAGAACAGAGGGACATTGCTGATCAAGGTTGAGGCATGTAATAGAGAGTTCAGTTTCTTAGACACAGAGAGTGACACCGAGTAAGTTAAAACTCGTTTAAGCTTTTAGAGTTTAAAATTTGTGTCTGTTTGTTGTCTATATCTGTTGCTAGCTCTGTGTGTAAACTCTGTGTTATTGAGTAAATGTTGAAAAACACTTCGCTTCCTTATTTCTCATTTCTTCTATCTAAGGATTATGAAACACTTTGGTTGACACAGATAGAACAAGAGAATGTATATTTTTCTGTCTAAAAGACAAAGAGCCTTGTAAACCAATAAGCGACTTCTTCTTATTAGCTACACATTGTTGACTACTTATCCAAGGAAATTATCACTTGATCCTTTTTTTTTTTGAACTGTAGCTTGAGTTGAAAAGCAGACAGAAGAAACAAAATCATAACTGACAAAAAGAGCAATTTTAACACAAAGTCATCAAGCATTGAAGTTCGCATCAATGGATGATCAGATCAAGAAAACTCCATGAGAGTTGAGTTACAGAGGAAGCTCCCCACTATCCACAATCACCACCTTACTCTTAGGAGTTCCACTCTGATTCCCTTCAGCTTCGATTTTGTAGACCACATCCATTCCCGTTATGACCTTCCCGAATACTACATGCCGCCCGTCCAACCTGTATAAAATCCCGAGCTTTCTAATCAAGAGACGGAAATAACATATCGAATTCTCTCATATTGAAGATAGTAGAAGGTGGCTTTTTGTGACTGAAATCCTGCTGATTCTGTACTCACCAGCTTGTTGTTATTGTTGTGATGAAAAACTGTGATCCATTGGTGTCTTGACCGGCGTTTGCCATTGATAGCAGCCCTGTGAAAAAAGGAAAACAATTGATCAGGCTAAAACCACATGGTCAAAGAGAGGTTCATGTTGTACATACAGAATACCAAAGAACCTCACCTGGAGCAGTATGCTTGATTTTGAAGTTCTCATCAGCAAACGTCTCACCATAGATAGATTCCCCTCCCATTCCATTTCCATGTGTAAAATCGCCTCCTTGAAGCATGAAGCTTGGTATGATCCTATGGAACGAACTTCCCTTGTAATGGAGAGCCTTCCCTTTCTTACCTATTCCTTTTTCCCCTGTGAATAAATGAGTGTATGTAAGCTTTTTAATTCAAGGTAGATACACTGTTGTGCCAAGATGTGATGGCGAAAAAAGCTATAAAATATTCAATTGACTTGGGATAAAAAATGAGCAATATTTTGTTTGCATACCTGTGCACAAAGCTCGGAAATTCTCTGTAGAAACAAAAAATTTCAAGAAGTCAGTCTTCTTTAGAATATCTCACTCATACCTGAGCTTGCAATAAAGAATCAACAATACAGGAAACGTGTCAGGGTTAAGGGTACCTGCAGTTTTGGGGACTGTCTTGCCAAATAGACCCATGACAATACGACCTGGAAGAAAACGATCAATCAGTATGAGACGTTTTCAGGGGGAAAGGCATGGAAAATGCAATTAATACGAAAAGAAGAAATCACAAAGCATTTCAAGAACTAAGTGCACCAAGATCCATCATTAGAATAAACTCAGGATCAAGGTAATACCGGCTTCTTTTCCATCGATTTCGACATCAAAATAAACCTTGTGTGTGATCTCCTTTAAGTTCTCCTTAGACTTTTTGGCCTGAAACATGAAACCAAACATCCAGAAATCAATATAAGCACTAGCAACCGTTTCATAATCATTCGAATACACTTGGAGACATATTAGGCACACTTCATGTACTATCTAGCTCTCAACATATATACCAATCCAATGATATTGAATCTAATCACATCTTAAGGAACAAATTCAGAATTTCCAAACAAAACATATGCTTGTTCCACTTTCCTGAACCTCTCACGTTCATAATCCAACCATCAGAATCACATTTCAAACACACTATAACTCGCGACCAAAGTATAAGTGTTTGTATTCTGATCCTAGGAGAAATAACCCAAATCGTCCGAGATAGTAATGATGAATGATGAATGAAACTAATGTCACATCAAACAACGAATCGAAGAAAACGTGAGACCAAATTTACCATAACCAATCGCACTCAATTAGGTATACATCTAGATCGTGCAAAATCTAAGAAAAACTCAATAGAAACATATTTGCAGCCATCGATCGAATAGTGAGAAGAAGACGTACATGAATTGCGCTTAAGGTTCCCAGAAGAAGAAGACTCCATAGAAGCAACGTCACTGAGCTCGCCATATCTCTCACCGTGTAAAAGTGTTTCTCCACGCACAGTCCCTATTTTTCATCCACCTCTACCTCTATTTTTCCACCTGCAAATAACAAAGAACACGTCGACATCCAATCAGATTCCGCCACCTGGCTTGTCGGTTTACAATTGTACTTGGCACTTGATAAGATGATTTGGGCCCCAGAATTATAATGGGCTATTAAATTATTAGTTATGGGCCATTAATGTATCAGCGTTAAAAATGGTGGAAGTGTCTGTATTGGTATATATATTAGGCAAATTATTAGTTAGGCAAACAATTGTACTATCATTCTTTGTATAAAATTTTCGATTTTATTTTTGTTGGTGAGTTAGTGATTACATTTTGTTTTTAAAAAGCAAAGAATTGAACGAAACTCCGAGTTGGCAATTTCTAATGGAGAAAATGACCGGGTCGGATAATAATGTTATTTTATCACACACAACTACACAAGTCGTTTTTTTATCCTAGTCAAAAGACGTAAACTAAGCCATAAAGCATGTCCAGCTACCACAATTCTGGTTTTAAATGGTTTTAATAAACATTAATGTCAGTATCATTTAACTAAGCACGTTTCCATTCACATTAAAAATCCGATTGTAGTAGTTTAAAATGTTGTTAACTTTTTGTGGCCCAATCTTCCAGTATATTTCTTTACCATAAATACAAGGCCTTTTTTTCCCAACACAAACCATACAGTATGTTTTTATTTAACTATTATTAGCAAAGCAAGATAATTCCTTCTATTATTGATTGTGCATAAAAGTGGATTTAGACAGACGAAACAGAAAAAACAAACACACTTTATATCTGTATCAACCCTACCAATATAGCCAATACTTTTTTGTTTGTCTTCTTATTTCAACATATCTGAAATCTGTTTTTTCAAAAAAAAAAAAAAATCTCTTTTAACGTGTTCACACTTGACAGAAAGAAAAAAAATCTGAATCAAAACAAGTCGGTAAATCTTTTATTTCGTCCTATTCTTCGTTGTACTATTAACACTTGTCGATATGTCATATGTCTCAGTAATATTACCTTTTTTTATTCTTACATGGGTTTGGAATTAACGAGAATCATTAAATTATTACAGAAGAAAAAAAACAAGATTCAGTAACCAATTTTTTTGTTTTGTGTTCAGGTGTAAGCGTGTAGAATTTGACGAAGAAATACTC